CCCAAAAAAACTGAAATCAGAAAATATATAGAAGGAAATATAGGTGAAACACTAAGTGATATGCACCTCAAAGACATGTTACAGACACATCACCCGAAGCAGTGATAGTGAAGGCAAAGATAAACAACTGGGACTACATCAAATTAAAGAGGTTCTGCACAGCAAAAGAGACAACAACAAAAACAAAGAGAGGGCCTCCCCAGTGGTGCAGTGGTTGAGCACTGGGTTGCGAAGCTGCCCGCAGCCTCTGGTGCGCAGATCTCTCCTGCCACCCGCTGCTCCCCTCAGCAGTGTACTTCGTCAGTCTGCCTGCTCTTCTCTCCCCTCTGGCTCTGGTGAATTCTCTTACCCTCACGTGCTTCTGACTATACCCATTGTTTGTATAAATAAATAAATAAATCTTTAAAAAAACAAACAAACAAACAAAACAAAGAGAAACCCCACCGACTGGAAGAAAAATTTCGAACACAACACTAATAATAAAGGATTGATCACAAAAATCTACAAAGAGCTGATGAGGCTCAACAAAAACAAAGAAAATAATCCAGTTAAAAAATGGGCAGAGGAGCTAAAAAGAAACTTCTTCAAAGAGGAAATGCAAATGGCCAACAGGCATATGAAAAAATGTTCAACATCACTTGTCATCAGGGAAATGCAAATCAAAACTACCATGAGATACCATCTTACACCAGTGAGAATGGCACATATTAAAAAAACTAACAACAACAAATGTTGGTGAGGATGTGGAGAGAAAGGAACTCTCCTGCACTGTTGGTGGGAGTGCAAACTGGTCCAACCACTATGGAAAGCTGTGTGAAGATTCCTCAATCTACTAAAGATAGGGCTTCCATATGATCCAGCAATTCCACTCCTAGGTATTTACCCAAAGGACACAGAAACATTAATTCCAAAGGGCACCTGCACCCCTATGTTTATAGCAGCACTATTTACAATAGCTAAGCTTTGGAAACAACCCAAATGCCCAAAAATAGATGACTGGATCAAGAAGATGTGGTATATATACACAGTGGAATATTACTCAGCAATCAAAAAAGATAAACTCATGCAATTTTCAGCAACATGGATGGAGCTGGAAGGGATCATGCCCAGCGAAATAGGTCAGAAAGAAAAAGAAAAATACCAGATGGTTGTCACTCATAGCAGGAATCTAGAAAAACTAAATAAGGGATCAGGAAAAAGAATAACTATAATAAAGAAAAAATCAAGGGCCTCCCCGGTGGCACAGCAGTTGAGCGCTGGGTTGCGAAGCTGCCGGCGACCTCTGCGGCGCCGGTTCTATCCCCGGCTGCTCCCCGGCCACTGGAGGAGGGTCCCACATGGTGCGCAGACCTCTCCTGCCGCTCGCTGCTCCCCTCAGCTGTGTACTTCGGTCCTTCTGCCTGCTCTGCTCCCCGCTCTGGCTCTGGTGAATTCTCTCACCCTCCCGCACTTCTGACTGTACCCAGTGCATGTATAAACAAAACAAAAAAACAAACAAACAAATAAATAAATAAATAAATAAAAAACCATGCCTCTATAAAAAAAAAAAGAAAAAATCAAAATCTATAAGAACTATAAACCAGAGAGACACTATGTGGGGGCGGGGAGAGGAGGGATTGGGGTTAAAATAAGGGGGTGCAATTGTATGGGGAATATAAAAAAAAATCTTAAAAAAAGAAAGTTTCGTGTAATATGTAAGCGCATACACACATAGGAAATTTCATGTAAATATATATTCATACATATACATTTATGTATACACATGTTTTATATGTTACAATATGTATCTATAGTTACATAGCTATAAAAAGCAAGATCAATTATAAAATCTATTAAATTGAGAGTGTAGTAGGGAAATTTTACCATCTAATGGGGAGCAAATTATCTAATTAGGAGAATTTCCTGAGATTTCATCTAGGGACAGAAGAAAAACATGGGGAATATAATAGATAAAAGGAGTAACACCTTGTTTCTTGATTGAATCCAACAAGTTCAATTGTTCAAGTACTATTTATGTTGCAGTATGGAATTTGTGTATACTTAGTTGTAGTGATTGTAACAAAAATTCAAGTCAATTATGCAATAAAATCTATTTATACTGGAGCATGGCTCATAACATTTAACATATATTCAAAAAAGTATACCTCATCACCTGATAGTTCAACATGCCACTTTCCTTAATAGCACGAGTTACTAACCAAAAGAAATCCTAGAAATATGACTGTTCCTACCAGTGGAACAGAAGTGTGAGCACAATGGGCTATGATGAAGAAATATGAATGCTTTAGTGATGTATGTGGCAAAATACATTTTAAGGGGTGTGAACCTATTCCTCTAAAAAAATATACAGTGTTGTAAACCGATATGACCTTAATAAAATCAATACAAAAAAACACTTGGCACTATAAAAGACACAGTTAATTTGAGTACTAGATTTTGAAATTCACATAATCCTGGATCAATGTAAATAATTTTTTTATTAGATTTCAAATAATCTTGATATTTTCAATGCTATGCACAATCAAGACCTCTAAGTTCATTTTTAAGTCCAAATAGGAATCCTTATTTTATTTCCAGGAAATATTTATTTTTTTATTATTTTTTTTAATAGAGGCATGTTTTATTTATTTATTTATTTGTTTGTTTGTTTATACATGCACTGGGTACAGTCAGAAGTGCGGGAGGGTGAGAGAATTCACCAGAGCCAGAGCAGGGAGCAGAGCAGGCAGAAGGACCGAAGCACACTGCTGAGGGGAGCAGCGGGCGGCAGGAGAGGTCTGCGCGCCATGTGGGACCCTCCTCCGGTGGCCAGGGAGCAGCCGGGGATCGAACCGGCGCTGCAGAGGCTGAGGGCAGCTTCGCAACCCAGCGCTCAACCACTGCACCACCGGGGAAGCCCAGGAAATATTTATTTTTATTTATTTATTTTTATTTTATTCTTTTATAAACATCTTGTTTATTTTTTCACAATATTGGATTTCTCCAACAGGTACCGTCATGTTAGTTTTCCCACCACAAAAGCAACCATAGTTCTTCCCCATAGTCCTTTGTGCTCTCCTACCCCCATTTTCTACTCTTTCCTTTTCCCATCCCCTCCCGTCTGTTATGAAGTGTCAGACTTATAGTATATCTTTTTCTGATATTTTTTTTGGTTTCTCCAGATTCCACATGTACGTGAAACCGCCCCCCCCCCCCGGTATTTCTCTTTCTCCTTGGGGCTCACTTTGCTTAGAATAATCCCTTCCAATTCCATCCATGTTGCTTCAAATGGCATGAGTTTACCTTTTTTGTCTCTTCTTTTTTAAAGATTTATTTATTTTTGCATACAAGAACTGGGGTACAGGCAAGAGGTGTGGGGAGTGAGAGGATTCACTGGAGACAGAGTGGGGAACAGAACAGGCAGATTGACCAAAGTACACTGCTGAAGGGAGCAGCAGGTAAGTCAGGAGAGGTCTGCTGTGCCATGTGGGTGGCTCCCTGGCTGGGGAGTGAACTCGTGATGCAGTGACTGCAGATAGCTTCATCGGTTGTGTCTCAACCCCTTGTGCCATCAGGGAGGCCCAAATTTACCTTTTTTGATCACTGAGTAATATTCAATTGTGTATATGGACCACATATTCTTGACTCATTTATCTGTTGTGGGACATTTAGCTTCTTTCTATATTTTGGCTATTTTAAATAGCCTTAGATTAAACATAGGAGTGCCAGATTCCTTTTGATTTAGTGTGTTTGTGTTAATTGGATAGATATCTAGGAGTGGATCATATGGTAGATCCGTTTTCAGTCTTAGGAAGAATCTCCACCCTTCCTTCCATAGCAGCAGGACCCAGTCTACATTCACACTAACAGTTTAATTGGTTCCTATTTCTCCACACCCTTGCCAGCACTTATTCTTTGTTTTTTTGCTTTTTAAGTGATCATGAACATTTTTTCATGTCTGTTGGTCATCTGCATGGCTTCTTTGGAGAAATGCCTTCTGCCCAATTTTTGATTGGCTTATTTGCTTTCTTTTATTGAGTTTATATAAGTTATTTGTAGCATTGTCAAAATGGTCACTCTATGCAAAGAAATTTATAGATTCAATGGAATCCCAATAAAAATCCTAAAGACATAGAACATATTTAGAGGAAATAGAACTAAGATTACTGACATTTCTATGGAACCACAATAAACCCCAAATAGCCAAAGTTCTGACAAAACAGTGTACAAATGGAGGCATCACACTTCCAGAATTCAAATTATACTATAAATATATAATAATTAAGACAGCATGGTTCTGGAACAAAAATAGACACCCAGGTCAATGGAATGGATTTGAGAGCCCAGAAATCAAGCCACACATTTATGGACAACTAACATATGAGCAAAGAATGTACACTGGAACAAGGAAAATATCTTAAATAGTGCTGGGTAAATTGGACTGACACATGCAAAAGAATGAAACCAGACTCAACACAAAATGAATAGAAGACAGATATAAGGCCTGAAACCATACATGAAATGCATAGAAGAAAAAATAGGCAAAACTGACTTAAACTTCAGAAATTTCTTTTCTGACTTATCCTCAGCAGCAAGGAAAACAAAGGAGAATATAAACTAGGACTATATCACATTAAAAAGCTTCTTTGAAACAGACAGTGGTGAAAACAAAGAGACACAACCTAATGGGAGAAAAATATTTGCACACCATGCCTGATAAAGGATTGATACTGAAGATCTGCAGGAAATTTTTTAAATCCTCAGAGATTTCAAACTAAATTTAACAAAAAATCCATACTAATTAATATTAAATATTTTGTTACTAAGTAATACTACACCAAATGATATTTATAAGTAAATAAACCTCCATTGAAGACTTGAAAAATCACATAAACAGTTTTATTTATGTAGATCAGTGATCTACAGTGAGATCACATATTAACTTAGTATTTTAACTTTGAACTGGAGCTTTGCTCATGCTGGGCAGCATGTTCTTTTTACAGCTAGAATGTACTAATCTATTAAGATACCACACATCTCCCCAGCAACTTCCAGAGAGCTGCCACCACCTCCTTGTTCCTCAGGCTATAGATGAGGGGGTTTAACATGGGGGTAAGAATATTGCTGAAGAGAGAGAGAGCCTGATCCTGTTCTGGACTATGGGAGGAAGTGAAAGACATGTATATGAATATGTTTGGGCCAAAGAAGAGACTCACCACAGTTAGATGGGAAGAACAGGTGGCCAGGGCTTTTTTTCTACCCTTAACAGAGTTGATACGGAGAACAGTGAGGAAGATAAGACTATAGGAGGCTGTAATGAGACTGAAAGGCACAACAAGGAGCACAATGCTTGTTACCACCACCACTAACTGATACACTGAAGTGTCTTCACAGGACAGTTTAATGAGGACGGGGACCTCACAGAAGAAGTGATGGATCTCTCTTGACCCACAGATGGAGAAATGCATAGGATAGACTGTATGGATAAATGAACTTATAGAGCCTCCAATCCAACACCCAGCTATCGTATTCAGACAGAACCTGGGGCTCATGATGGTGGGATAACGCAGTGGAATGCAGACAGCCACGTAGCGATCATAAGCCATGAGAGTCAAAATGAGACATTCTGACATTCCCAGCATCAGGAAGAAGAAACTCTGGGTTCCACAGCCAATCCTTGATATTGTCCTTTCCCCTGTGAAAAAATTAGAAGCCATCTTCGGGACAATGGTGGAAGTTAATGTCAAGTCAATGAGTGAGAGTTGACTGAGGAGAATGTACATGGGTATATGGAGTCGGGTGTCAGCCCAGATCAATATAATGAGAAGTGTATTTCCCAAGAAGGCAAGGATGTAGATGAAAATGATCGTGGAGTTGAGGACAATGGAATGCCGAAACTCAGGAAAGAGTCCCACAAGGATGAAATCAGTTACTGAGGACTCATTCCCACCCACCATGCTCTAAAAAATGCAACAGTGCTGGAAAACAAAGCAAATGGATTAGAACAGCTGACATTCAGTAGATTCTGATCTGCACTATCTATAGTTGAGATAAACTCTCTTCAAATAGCAAATAATCTTATAAATATGAATCTAATTTCTGTAAATATGAGCCTAAATTTTATAAATTATTTCTGATATCCACAGGTCCTATTTATTAACTTTTTCATATTTGAGCAAAAGAAGGAAAAGTAAATTAATTCTCATGATCTATAAAATTATGTATCAAGTCTTAGGTTGGACCCTATATTTCTGTATCATATAAAGTATTATAAATCAATGTTTCCTTAATTAAAAATAAATAATATATTGAATATTTTTTGGATTTACTTTTTGTCTATTTGTCATGATACTTCAAGTATACTAATAGACATTGCCAGACTTGATATCAAGGTCCTTTATAAAACTTACCTTCTATTATGCTTGAACATATAACTCAACTTCAGAAAAATGAATAGTCTAATGGGTCTCCACTTCTTCACACATCTGCACTTTTGCTTTTATTTATGCTTAGGATTATTCCTCTGCTCTTCCATTTTTATTGGAGTCTCTTCAAGACTTACTCAAATACAACTTCCTGAAATTTGAAAGAGAGTTTTCCCTATCTACTCTCCTACAATGCCTTAATTGCTTCACACAAAACTTTATCAGCATAGGTTACACACAATGTAGCTTGGTGGTGAAGAACATATATAAAGGGCTAAGCTGTCTGAATTCAAAAATCCAGCCTCATTGCTTACTGTCTTTGCCTCCTTCTCCTTCTCTTTAAAATTAGGTGGTAAAGCAAATGACCTCAAGGGGTAGTCATAAGGCTTAGATAATTTACTACTTATATAATGAGTACCGAATACCTTTATTATAGTTTTCTTTTTTGTTTAAATATATTGTTCATTTTTTCACAATATAGGATTTCTACCTTCAAACGTAGCCACCATAGTGTTCCCACCACTGAAGTATGGACAGTCCTCCACCACAAGCCACTGTGCTCTCCTTTCCTCTGTTCTCTACTCTCCCCCTTTCTCTTATCTTTGCCCTCCCCTCATGAGTGTCTCAGATCTATTGTCTGCTTTCACAGTCAACCTTGCAATTTTTCTTTAATTCTTTGTTTAGTTTCCCTATATTTCACATATAAGTGAAAACATCTAGTATTTCTTTCTCCTTCTGGCTCAATTCATTTAGAATAATCCCTTTCAGTTTGTCCATGTTTCTGCAAATGGCATGAGTTTATAGTTTTCTATATGCATGTTTCTCCTCAAATAACTTCTAAGATTTTAGATGAAGAGGACTGTATTTTTATTTATTTGTATGCCAATAAAGTGAACACAATAACTTCTAAATGTGTATATCCAATAAGCATATGTTAACTGAAGGTTTAACAAACTCCATTTTTAAGTAAAATATATAGCTAACACCTTCACTGGAACTGCACTTCTGATAAAAGCTTAAGTTGTTCCTCTTTATGTGTCTTATAGAAATTGGAATCCTAACTCAATCTGAGTAAGATAACTACTTTTTATGATGTGGAAGTGTCCATATGCAGTTATATTTCCTAGCAGAATGACATTGATGCAGATGGTCATCAAAACACCTGAAAATCATGTTGTCCATACTTGGAGAAGAAAAATTCATAAAGTAAAACAATACTACCTTCTTGTTTAAGGTAATGTTTCTTTGCTGGGTCTATATATTCAAAATATCTGTAACAAAAATGTCAGCTATGAATAAAAGTTATTGCTTTTCCTTTAGTCCACTAAAATACATAGCTACTAAAATATAAAATGCAAATATAATTATTAAATTTGTTCTATTACTGTAAGCAGAAAGTACTGATCTTGCTAAAGTTATGTTCATATTATTTCAGGAAAAATGTTAAAATGGTGATTAAAATCTTTGCTATATGTTCATTTTAAAATAAACATTCACTGTATTCTCACTATATTTCACACATTTTACAGGGACTGAAGAGGGGACAATGAAGAAAGACATGGTTTTTATCTTCAATAAACTATGGGATCAAATATAAAATCATTTTATATTGACAATACAAAAAAAAGTTTGAAATAAACATGATAGCTAAGTCTCCTATAGGGTGATAGATTAATGCAGAGGAAAGAGAAAATGTCTGCGTGAGGTAAGGGTAGAGATTCAGGTAAGATATAACTTGAACTAAGTCTACCTTAGGACATAGGAAGTCATGTAAATTTAAGAACTGAGATAACAAAGGGTGAGTTGTGGTTAAAAACATGCGTCAATTGATGGTAGAAGTCATGTTACATAAGTAAATGAGAAATAAGACTTGTTTACAAAGTTTTATTAGACTATTTTAAACTAAATAACTTTTTTTTTTAAAAAAAAAAAGATTGATTTATTTATTTATACAAGTACCGGGTACAGCCAGAAGTGCAGGAGGGTGAGAGAATTCACCAGAGCCAGAGCGGGGAACAGAACAGGCAGACTAATGAAGTACACTGCTGAGGGGAGCAGCGGGCACTGCAGGATAGGTCTGCACGCCATGTGGGACCCTCGCCCGGCGGCCAGGGATTGAAGCGGCGCTGCAGAGGCTGCGGGCAGCTTCACAACCCAGTGCTCAACCACTGCACCACCAGGGAGGCCCTAAACTAAATAACATTTACAATTTTCTCATCTTCAATAACTTTCAGTAACCCATACATGTATATTTACATCATGTCAAATAACGTGGTCTGCTATTTCCTCCACTGAGCTGACAAATCCATCTATGTATTGATAATTTCTTTTGAACTAGTCAATAAATATGATTTAATATTTCATTTTTAATTAACTCTTTTGAAATATCTGATTTCTTTTTCTAGAATAAAGATAATCAATGTAACCTCACCATAAGGTGAGCAGAAGGCATTATACAATCTAAGTGCTCAAAATCACCTACTATTATTATATTCATTAGTATTATTACATTTAATTTATTCCACAATTTGTTATAAAACTGCATTTCAACTTTCAATTATGTTAGCCATAATATCCACTAAAGTTATGAATGTATAGCTTCATAACTTTTAGAACACAAATGGCAAAGGATTTAAAAATACAGATGATAAAATAAGAGTTATTATTTCATAATTTTCTAATTAACAATTTTCTAATTAATCAAAATTGAATGAATTTTTACTGATAGTCAATTGTGACTATATTCTGCTATTTCTTTAATATGGTACAACATCTACTCAAAAGGAGAAGTAATGTTATATTATGCCATAGGATTTTATTGACATTTTATAAAGTTTCAAATGATGACTGTCATTTCAAGAACACAGCATGTCCTTATTGTTTCATGAGTTAAGGTTTTGTATATGTTAGTATATACATGACAGATTGAAACAGGATCATCTTTTCCAAAAGCAACATGGTAGATGCACAAGATTTAGTATAAGATTAACTTGGATACTAAGTTATGCACATACTTAAATATATCAAATTTGTCTAAAAGTATAGCAATTTTTATTTAAAATGTTGTACTTAACATAATGAATTGTGCCTTTTCCGTGTTATTCTGGCTTTGGTCAGACAAGACTATGGCACAAATATTTATTTAATTGATATGATTCATGCAGACAGTCAAATGGAAATATTATAACTTCATACAACATTACCCTGTACTGGAATCCTAGGAAATTTATAAAATGCACACGATATTTTTTTTCAAGTATAATCAAAATCTAACAACTGTGAGACTTAACAATAAGCACATGGATTATCTGCACATTTTCCATTACCAGGCAAAAGTCATGATGAGATGCTTTATTTTTTTTTCAAGTTTGGTGTCTACCTTAAATTCTATTTATCTCCAGTCACCTCTGCCTCTTGGAATAGTTGACATCTTCTGCATTGTCCATGATCATGTGTGCCTTCTCACTGAGCAACATTTTTTTTTAGCACAGAAAAATGAATGCAATTAGATAATGTTGATGAAAAGTCATGTATTTTGGGAATGACCCCAGTGATTATCAGTCTATATAATGCTTTGTACAATATATGAAATACTGGGTAGTATACCAGCTAAGCTCTAACTTGGTAGATTGCTTAGTAATTGTCACAAGGGCCAGGAGAGCTTTGTAGTTAGTGACCTAGGGGAAAACAATCCCCAGACTTTAATTAACTTTTGTCTTAAGCCATAACAGTAAAACATAGAATTAGAAATTGTTTGGGGTCTCCCCTGGTGGAGCAGTGGTTGAGCCCTAGTCTGCGAGGCTGCCTGCAGCCTCTGTGGCCCCAGTTCGATCCCCTGCCGCCAGCGAGTGTCCCACATGGCGCGCAGACCTCTCCTGCCGCCCGCTGCTCCCCTCAGCAGTGTATTTTGTCAGTCTGTTCTGTTCCCCGCTCTGGCTCTGGTGAATTCTCTCACCCTCCCACGCTTCTGACTATACACTATACCCAGTGCTTGTATAAATAAATAAATAAATAATTCAAAAAAAAAAAAAAAGAATTAGAAATTGTGTGAAACAAATGCTCTAATAGTGGAAAATATGCATATGCATATGCATTCAACTATTCCCATATGAGAAACCATTGGATCAATGATGAAATGCCATCAAGATATATAATCTACCCTATATTAGACTTCTAATGGAAGGATGCTCAATATGAAATATCTTTACCTTTAACTTTTCCCTCAAAAAAAACTTACCCTGGGCCTCCCCGGTGGTGCAGCGGTTGAGCACTGGGTTGCGAAGCTGCCTGCAGCCTCTGCTGCACCAGTTCAATCCCCGGCTGCTCCGTGGCCACCAGAGGAGGGTCCCACATGGCGCGCAGACCTCTCCTGCCGCCCGCGGCTCCTCTCAGCAGTGTACTTCGGTCCTTCTGCCTGCTCTGCTCCCCGCTCTGGGTCTGGTGAATTCTCTCACCCTCCCGTGCTTCTGACTGTACCCAGTGCTTGTATAAATAAATAAATAAATCTAAAAAAAAATTCTTTAAAAAAAAAA